CGGCGGAGGAGGCGGGGGCGGAGGGGGCGGGGTGCGGGCCGGCGGCGGCAGCAGCATCAAAGAGCCCCGATTCCTGTCGCCCTGGGAGCCATGCGCCGCTGTCTGTAATGTCAGCGGAACAGGAGAAGGACCCCATCGCGCTGAAGAGATCCCGAGGTACTGCGGGGGGAAGGAGGGGGGGTCGCAGGCCGGGCCGGGGACGGCCGGCGGGGCCTAACTCCCGCCGGGGGAGCCCTGAGGGAGCCCGCGGGGATGCCGGCCCCGAGCCGCCGCGCGCCGGGCCCCGAGCCGCCGGCCCTCCGGCCCGGGTCGCTCCCCGCGGCGGAGCGGGGCCGCGCTAAGTTTGCTCGGTGCGGCCCGGCCCGGCCCCGCGGGTTCCCGCAGCCTCCGGGCCTGGAAACGCCGAAGTCGGGGTGGCGGTGCGCTGCCGGGCGCCGCGCTGCGCGCTGATCGCTGTTGTGTTTTGCTGCTTGTGCCGCCCATTAGTATGCGGCGTGCGTAGCCTTGGTGCAAGGGAATACGTCGGCGGTGCCACATGTCCGAGTTGGGGGTCGATGCGGAGCCTCTAAATCGCACGGAGCGCTTCTCTGCCCCGCGTTTGATTTCGCTTGGGGTTTTGTTTCCTCTCGCTGGGAGTTGAAACGTTTCTCCGCGGTTTTTGTCTTTCATCAGCAGTCCCGGTGCGTGCTCAGAGGTCTGAACGGACACTGCTTTGAAATGTGCGCTGTCTGCTCTGCCTCGGGCTGCGCATCTAGGGTCACCAGCCATCGGTTTGCGGGGTGGTTACTGTGTCCACGCTGTTCTTAAAAGCAGAAATGCGTTTCTGACCAAAATAATAAGTAGGGTGTTGGAGTTGGGTGGAAATCATGTCGTAATGATAAGAGCCGAAGTTTATTGCTTCTCTTTCCCTCTCCTCCTGCTGCGCTCCTGGGATCCCATTGTTCTTAATGTTTTGAGCTTCTTGTGGGTGCCTGAGTGGCAGAAGGTGGGGATCCTGTTATCCGAATTGTCATTGATTTACAGTTCACTTCTCTAAAACAGCTGGATCACAACCTCGAGAGTGAGAGAACGGAAACGTGCGTCTGCCTTACAAAGGGGACTGGGATTCATTAGGCTCTGCTCTGAGCTCTGATTCTGCACATACGTAGGCATGCAGTTTCGCACGCTGGAGGTACCCACTGAGTTCTGTATGATGATTGCTTCACCTCAGGCCTTGTGGGATCAGGCCCACAGTGCAGGCTCACTGGGTCTGGTTGAAGACTGGCTCTCCAGTTTTCTGTCCATAATAAAAAGTATGTTTGGCCATTTGTAACTGCTGGGAGGTGTTGTTAGAGCACTGTGAAAAAGACTGTGGCTCCCGTGCTGTAAAATCCCAGACAGAGGTTTGTCAGTGAATGGGAAAGCGCTCTGTGGAGTATTTGCAGTGCGTTAAGTACAACATAAATTATACACAAAATCATGATATCTGACTGTGTAGACAACTGAAAGTTTCAGTTCTCTGCGCTTGTTTGGAGGTGTCTGTGTGTGAAGTCAGAGAGGATGTGGGATTCGCTCCCTCTGTGCTGTCAAAGTGTAAATGGCCAAAATGCAATTTAGTCATAATACGTAATAGGGGAATAGATATCAGATATGCCTTTATATCTCTAAGTCCATCTAAGTATATGATGTTCCAGTCAAACAGATTGTTTTTTTTTTTCCTGCAAAATTAGTCACAGATGAAGTGATTTTTTTTTTTTTTTTTTTTTTACACCCTTTGTGCAAATATCACAGCATTCCAAAATGCTCAGTACGCAGCTTAAAGACGAGTCTGTGTGGCAGGTACCAGGAGTGACTTTCCCAAAAGTTTATTTTGGCTGCATGAAAATGACTCTCATTCACTCTTCTTCTGGAGGTATGCTCAGACTAACATTCAGCTTCCTTTCATGTATAAATTAAATCATTATAAAATCCACAGGGAAAACATCAATTCATAGGGCTAAATTAAATCACTGGCCTCACACAGTGAGAACTGCAAATACAAAAGCTTTGTATGTTCCAGATGTAGGACTCAGTTCTGCAAGCCCTTGCAGATGACTGATTTTCCCCATGTGAGTAATCCATGCAGTAATTGGTGGCTCTTATTATAGAATCCAGAGATTTACATGGCTAACATTTTTGAAGAATGAGATCTGAGAGGGGAAGCTTGTACATAATTTTACAAAGTTGTAACTTCTCTGATGTAAGTCGGCACTTTCCTGTGGTTCACAGTATTCCGTTTGTAGATGTAGTAATTTCTGTGCTGCTAGTTGTTGAATGAAAAGAAATCAGAATATTTGTAATGTGTTGCCATCAGCAAACACTGTTTGTGTATTAAGAATATAGGACCATATGGAGAAACGTATTTTTGCAGTTGTGAGCAAGGGTGCTCGCAGTACAGTTTCTCATAAAAGAGTTCTGGAGGAAGAGAATCTGATGGGAAGTGCAGGGACAGCTTTGAGCAAATACCTTGTTGAGAAGGTGATGTATAGGGTTGGTGTTTAAGGGGTGTTTGCCACCTTTATTTAAAACTATATAGGGATCATTCTGCATCTACAAGTAATGTAGCTGTGTGCTGTGCTAAGTGCATGCAGTGTTGTGTATTCTAAATCAAGGCTTAATGGTGTTTTTTTTCCTCTTCAGCTTAATCCCATGCTGCTCTGATGGTAGGTTGTACCGGGATACACTGTGCTCAAGCATGAGTTTATTTTGGGAGCTGGATCATGACTTCATGCTGTAGTCTCTGAAATTCAGACTCAAAATTTGCCAGTAATGATAGGTGTTGATTTGAGAGGTCCAATTACATATATCTTATGAGTAATGAAATGTTTTGGGAATTACATATACATAAAACAGAGATGAAATCTCTACAGCGACAGGCCAAAAGGAACTTATTAAAGCTCAAGTCAAATGGGATTTTTATTTGGAGTAGGACTGGTAATTTCCCTGAAACCTGTTAAGGCAAAAAAGTGTGTGTTGAGGGGAGGGAGCAAAGGCTGAGTGTAAGGAAAAAATGGGAATTGCTGGGAGTGAGAGCTCCTTGTGGTGCATGGCTGTTGGCCTCCTTTGATCAGGAGTATTTGAAGTAACTGTTGCATGTTTTAGATTGCGTATAGTAGTTCTAATTCTTTATGACGTGGGAGATTTCGTTGTGCTCCTAAACAGTCCTAAAGCTGGTTTAGCTGTCTTCTGGGAGTACTGGTGTAATGTAGAGCTGGTGTGATGTCACACACGATGCTGCTCTGCATAACACTGCTGATAATTCTGTTATTTTCAGGTTGTCTTCAGTGATACAGCTGAACACACGGGTTTCTCTTTATGCTTACATTTGGATGAAGTTTGACTTGTATTCAGAATTTGAGTTTTGAATAAATAACAGTAATTTTTTCAGCCTATGTTGCCCACTCCTTATGGTTTCATACTGTTATTATTCTTCTAAAATAAACAAATGATTACCTTAGTGGGCCTGGGAAAAAAGTTAACATATAGTTTCTTAATGTAGAGATGTTAAAATCTTAGGCTGGAGTGTTGTCATGTAACCTGGAAGTGAATTCCGTGCTTTGGCTCACGGTTGCTTTTGCATTCCCAAATGGAGGTAAATTTTTTCAACTCCATGAAGACAAAACTAATGGGATAGTAAGGAATGTGCTAGAACCTAAGCTCTAAATTGAGTTTTTAAAAACAAAAACCATAATTTATACAACTTTGAGAGCTTGTTGCATTCGTAAGGTTGGGGATGAAGTGCAGGTATGTTTGTATAGATCAGTAAAATGAACAGTCTTTACTTAGTGTTTATTTATTTTGCCAGAGCAGCTGTGCTGTATTACATAATGAGATTTCAATGGAGTAAAGTCAGACTCGCCTACAGCCTCTCATTTTTGGCAGGTGTCGTTATGTTTAATCAAGTCTTGCATTCAGAGAAAATTAGATCTGATAAAACGGAGATCTGACCAAACAATATAGCAGGTTTCCAATGGATATTCATAGATGTGCTACTCTTTTTTTTTTTTTCTCCTTCATGGCATATTGTAATGAGCTGTCGTGTGTCATACGGTGAGTTGGTAAATGCCACATCTGTCTAAGTTAAATAGGGGGTGAATCTTAGGCATGGTTTTAAGCAGTTGTTCTAAAAGTTTTATGCCTTATGCAAGTAAGAAGTACTTCAATTGAAGTAGAGATGTTAAAACCTAGGGAGTGATAGGCATGAAATGAAAGCTTGATTCAAACTGTAGTGAGCATGAATCGGGCATTAGATGGTAATAGAGCTGGATAGCTGAATGTGATGTGTGGGAACTTTTACCTCTGTGTATTCGCTGCTTGAGGATTTGCGTTAGTTCTGATGCCGTGCATTGTAAGTTCAGCATGTGTGACAAACAGGGACATACTTAAAATACAGTCTGAAAGTGAGCTAATGCAGAATTGCACTGCTTGAAATTTTGTAGGTGGTGACGGTGGATTGGATGGGTTAGGAGGACCAGGAGTACAGCTCGGAAGCCCTGATAAGAAAAAGCGCAAAGCAAACACACAGGTAAATTCCCTTTGATTCTTAATAAGTAGTATACTCACATGTTGTTTGCTGAAATTACTGTCTTACCCTATTCAGAATATTGCTCTATTCTCACAAACTGCTTTTACATTAAAAATGTTGTAGTTGTATTGTGAAGCTGGAATTTTAACTCTCTTTATTAAACTTTATCATGCTAGTTATCCTCACTAAAACTATTCTAGGTCTTTGTAAGTTGCCAAAGCCCTGTAAGGGGAGAAGTACGTAAGACTGCAAGACTTGCATTTTACCATATGGATTTGATTCTGAGTTGGCTTTTTTTTTTAGTGACTGTGTAGCCATTGGTAGCAATCTGTACAACGTGAGTAATTGCAGTGAGACTGCTTTTTGTAGATTTGTGGGCTAGTGGATCAGTGCAGTTTGTTAATGCTTTGACCAAACTCCTGGAGTGTTCCCTAAGTGGTTTTTCAAGCAAAAACTGTGAGGCAGGTTCAGCTCCTTTCCAGTGAATCCTTGCAAACTGGCATTTCTGTACGTTTTCTGTTTCTGAAAAAGGAAGCCAGAATACAAAACATCTAAAGTAATTGGATATCTGTAGAGCTGAACGTTCCTTTGTGTATTTATTCACTATGGAGTGAGAGTATCTGTTAATTTTTTGCTGCCCGGAGGGAGTAAATGTATTTACGTAGGTCAGATGATCACTTTCTTTTAGGCTTATCCAGTATTAATTGATTCCAATCCATGGGGATTTGTCTTCTCATTTTTTGTTTCCTTTCAAAGTAGTCATGTTGAAATCTGCTCTAAGAAATAAGTAGTTAATTGCAGAGCTTCACATCTCTCTACTGGAGAAGCTTGTTGCTCAGAAGTGGTGATAATGTAGAGGGCAGGTGAATTAGTTTCCTCTCTTTTCTTACCATGTTTGGAATGTGCAGGACAGGACAGCGGAAATTTGGGGAAAAAAATGTTCAGCCTTAGTTTATTAATATGAAGCCATCCTTTCTGTGAGGAGTTCAGGTGAAGGTGCAGTAGCTTGATGTTCCCCACAGGCTAGTCTACAGTGTGGTTCATTTGTATGGCCACTCTGAGGACATTCTGGGCTCCACTGAAGACTTGATTACGCTTTTTAACCAGAAATCCTTGTATTTTAATCCTACTGGCATTACTTAACAGATTGCCCACTGAATGTTCTTAAGGGACGCCTGTTTGGTACACAGAATATGGAAATTGCCTGTGCACAGGCTCCTGTGTTACCCATACTTTTCTTCAGGCTTCTAGTAACATTACTTTTTTAGGTTTATATATTCTCATGGAAGCGGGGTGCCTTGAGAGATGTATTTCCAGTAAACTGAACTCCAAATGACAGTAAGGAAATACTCCAGATCTGCTCTTCAGCATTTCAGAAATGTTATGTGTGTGTTTAAAGGACACATAGCTTTTTGTGTTGCTGCATTTCTTAAGTAAAAAATGGAGGGAGAAAAAAGCTTTAAGTGTCTTCAGAAGCATGGTTGTGCAACTGAGATGGCTATAAATCACTGCTACCTGGAGCTCAAACTCCTCTCTTCCCTTCACTGAAGGTAGCTTGGTGGGTTTTGGTGAGAGAGCTTTACACAACTGAACTGTGATTTTATTTATTTATTCATTTTAGTAGTAGTGCTGCTAATCCAGGACCTTGTGGCTAGTCTTTCTTGTAGAGACATGGTAAAACTAATAAAAATGTTGTATTTAAAATGTTTTTAGGGATCTTCATTTCCTCCTCCATCTGAATATGCTCCACCGCCGAATCCAAGCTCTGACCACCTTGTAGCTGCAAATCCATTTGATGACAGCTATAATACTGTGTCTTATAAACCACTTCCTTCAGGAAATCCTTATTTTGGTAATCCTGGTTATCCTGGCTTTGGAGGCTATAACACTTTCAGAATGCCACCTCACATGCTGCACAGAGTGTCCGCACCATATGGTGGTTCCTATTCCCTCAGAAACCAGCCACACCCTCTTCCTCAAAACCCTGTAGGAATGGGTTTTAGTCGACCCCACTCTTTCAGCTTTGGTCCACATGATAGCCCAGGTTTTGCGAATCAGCCACCTTATAGTGGCAGTCAGATAAATCAGAGTATCAGTATGCCCGGTCAGCATTTCAGACCAAATCCTGGTGAGAACTTTGGCCATTCTGGACAGATACCTCATCCTGATGTGCCACCTAACTTTGGTCCTGGAAACAATTCAAATTTTCCAAATTCTCAGCTAGAGTCAAGCCACTCTTTTGTTCCCCCACCAAGCACTTACAACCAGACAAAATCATCAGCACAAAAGCAAGACTTTAGTCTAGGTGCAAGCAAAGCATCCGGCCAGAACACTACTGCTCTTCAGCATCATCACAGGACAGAGGACATTGTGAGTCAAGGTAACAGTGACCTAAAAAATGTTACTCGAAACAACGTGGTAAATCAGGATGGTAGCCATTCTAATAGTGCTGATAACACTAATGCTGGCCATTCAAATGGGACTCAGAGTAAGTCCCGCCAGCCTCGAGGTACCACTGAAGGATGCAACTCTGAAAAGAGCAGCAAAACACCCCTTCATCCCAGTCGGCATGGTCACTCGTCCTCTGAACCCGTCTATCCGTGTGGAATTTGTACACATGAAGTTAATGATGACCAGGATGCGATCCTGTGTGAAGCCTCTTGTCAAAAATGGTTTCATCGAATCTGTACTGGCATGACTGAGTCAGCTTATGGCCTTCTTACAGCAGAAGCATCAGCAGTGTGGGGTTGTGATACGTGTATGGCTGATAAAGATGTCCAGCTAATGCGTACAAGAGAGACTGCAGGGCCGCCTGCGTTGAATACGGATGGCTAACAATGTCAACTGGTGGTACTACTTACTATGAAGATTTGGTTGTGAATACTTTCTGTTCTGAAGACAATCGATTTGTTTGATTGCTGTCATGTTATTTTCCACTATCTGTTTTCATTCATGAGGTTCCATCGCAACTTTTGTACTCTTAACTTTGTGTGTGCAAATATTTTACAGGGTGGAATTCTTTTTTTTTGTTTCTGACAACCAATTAGAAATAGGATGTGCATTGACAGTTTTATTGAAGGCAAAAATAGGCCTTTATGAATAGTCCCTGATTTGCTAGTATTGATGTGTTAACTAACACTAGCTTTTACTATTCAATTTCAGTGGTACTGTACTTGCAAGTACTCAATGCTTTTTTTTTTTTTCTTCTATTGTTGAATGTCCATTACTGACGTTCTTGACATTTGACATCTTTTCCTTGAATATCATGGAGATGACATGGAGGAAGTGTGCAGTACTAATAGTTTGTATTTTTTTAGAATAAATAAGAGGATTTTGTATGTGCTTTTTCTCATTTTTGAACTAAAGCATTAACGCAATTCTGAAATCAGTGCTTTCACTCTTAGTAACACAGTGAAACCCACTAAATCTTATACCTTGGTATTTCCTTGAAAAGGCAATGATCCTTTGATTTCTCAGCGAGCACTTAATTGCTGAGGACTCTTACTAGGTCATGCAGTATAGGAAATGGTTACAAAATATGATTACATTGAAAGAAGCTAGGACAGATCAAGTTGATGAAGTCTAGTGCTTTAAATCTAGAGAATACCAAAACTAAGGTTACATGTGTAGCCTTTCTTCATTCATCGTAAGCATGTATGTTAGGATACAGCCCCTGTTCAGTCACATACCTCTTGCTCATCCTCCATTGGTGGCTTTGTCTTCCACCCTCAACTGTGAACGGATTTAAGCAGGGAAGGTTCTGCCCATCTCTTAGAGCTGTCAGCTGGAGCCTGCTCGTTCATCCTGAGCTTACACTGTCTGCTTGGCAAGAACGGTGTGAAGCAACAGAATGTGTATAGCACAGACTCTGAACTGCAAGATAATTTGACCAGCAAAGTAGTAACACTGAATTCCCACCACTGCCTCAGCCAGTCTTGTAGTTGGAGGGAGAAGGAAATGTAGAGTGAAGACAAAGAAAGCTCTCAGATCTGAGAGTTTAGCTCATACCAGGAGCCAGCAAGCAGAAATTGAGCAAACTTGAGATCTTACAGACAAGTATGAAAGGCACTAGAACTTTAGTGTACGACTCTAAGAATTATGGTTTATTATAGACAGTTTGACCTTATTCTTATCTCAAGCATACACCTCTCCCCCATTCTCCCTTTTTTTTTTTTTTTTTTTTTTTGTGGGGGAGCATCTAGCCTTGATCGCTTTGGCCTTAGTTGCATATGCAATTGAAAATCAGTGTTTCTGTAGAGAAAAGTGTTGTTTTAACTTAATGAAAGATGGTACTGTAGTAATAGGTGGCTTGTAGTGCTCACCATAGTTCTGGAAACATGATTACTGATTGCTAAAAAAGCTAAATGGTATGTCAAACATTGCAGGTACTGGTCAGGTTTCTTAGTGTGATAGAAGGTGTTCAGATCTGTGGTGATGAGTGATACAGAGGCCTGTATTGAATACAGACATATATATTTAAAGGCTATTTTTATGGTAAGCTTTGTTAATGAGTGAAAAGTAAGGCTTATCTGCTAGTTCACCATTGTGTTTGATTTTAAATGAGCTCTAATGTTATACTGTCCTGAGAGATACTCTGCAGATGTAGATAACTGTCTTTCTTTTATTTTAATACTGAAGAGTTTTATATACCCTTTCATTGGAGAAGTATAGTATTGCCCTTCCCTTTTATAGCACCTCTCATCAGGAAAAAGGAGATAACATCTCAAGTGTAAATTACATAGTCCTTATCTTAAGGACTTCCTTTATCGAGATGTAAAGAAAGCATAAGGCAGATCCAGGGCTTCTGTTTTCAGTGCTACTTGCTTTTCTGACAGAGGCTGAGCTTAGTCTTGTTTTCTTAGGGGTGTGATATTTAAAAAAATGAACTGCAGACCAACACAAAAACACAAATAGCTGAACAGACAAACCTTGTTGATTTGTTCCTTTGGGAAACAGTTCCATTTCTATAGGAATTTACATTGTGAAGTTTGTAGTTCAGACTTAGAGCAATGTAAATGAAATAAAAATTTTGCTTAGTGACAGAAAGTTAAACAGCAGCTCCTTTGCTTATATTGTTATCTAAGCTGGTAGTCCGCAATAACATTTCCACACCCCATTTCAGTTAATGTTTCAGTGTTTTGGAGCAGATGCTATTTAAAATAGCTGTGTATTTCTTGAAATCTCTCAATCCTATTTCAAGTTAGGTGTTTTGTATGTTAGTTACCAAGATATTAGAATTTAAATAGTGTTCTTTTGAACTTCTGGAATATAACGTTGAAAGGCCTTAAATCACATATTTGTGAAACTTAGTCTAAAAAATGTCACTTATTTTCTAAACTGGGTACCATGTTGGGTTTGTATCCCACTGAATTTACTGTGCGTATTAACCTGCAAATTCAAAGCATTAGCAAATGCCAGTTTAAAAACATTAAATAACAAGCAACAAAATCAAACTTGCTGTCATCCTGATCACAGAGGTAGGACAGATTAGGATCTCAAGAACTCATCTGGCCTGTATGTTTATCCTACTGGTATGCTCTTGGCATCCCTGGACTTTTTGCCTAGAGATAGGATTATACTTTGTTTTTCTCTGCATGTATTGACTAGTAGTAGTTCAAGTATGCACAGGAAAAACAGCAATTGTGTTTTGTTAGTAAGTACTAGAAAAATGTCAGCTGGTTAGAATTAGAAATTAGTTATAGGAGGGTGGGTGGGAGGGAGGGCTGGTTAGAATAGGTGAAGTTTTTTGTAATACTCTACATGAAACAGTTTGTATTGAACTGTCATGTGATTCCTTCGTTATTAGTGATTTAGACTGTATTGTTGTTGCATACCAAAATATTGCAAAGATTTTGTAGATCTTCATGTTTTTGTGGGAAATGCCTGCGTCCTTTTTAAGTAGAATCATAGAATCATCACAGAATGGCTTAGGTTGGAGAGGTCTTTAAAGATCATTTAGTTCCAACCCTGCCATGGGCAGGGTTGTCCTCACCAGATCAGGCTGCCCAGGGCCCCATCCAACCTGGCCTTGAATGTACCTAGAGATGGAACATTCCCAACCTCTTTGGGCAGCCTATTCCAGAACCTCACCATTCTGAGGAAAGAATTTCTTCCTAACATCTAACCTACACCTTCTCTCTTTTAGTTCAAAGCCATTCCCCTTTGTCCTATCACTATCAGACCATGTAAAAAGTCGCACCCCTTCCTGCTTGTAAATTCCTGTGAAATACTGGAAGGCCCCAGTGAGATCTATCCAGAGCTTTCCTTCAAGCTAAACGAACCCAACTCTCTCAGCCTTTCTGCATGGGAGAGGCATTCAGGCCTGATCATCTTCATGGCTTGCCTCTGGACCCACTTCAGCAGCTCCGCATCCCTCCTGCACTGTGGGCCCCAGGCCTGGGTGCTGTAATCCAGATGCAGCCTCATGAGGGCAAAGCCGTGGGGAACTATCGCCCTCTTCCCCCAGTTGGCCACCCTTCTTTTGATGCAGCCCAGGATACTGTTGGCTTTCTGGGCTGCAAGGGCACGCTACTGGCTAGCTCCTTGTCGTGCTCAGAAATGCAGCTCGTACTGCTGAAAATGTTTTTTCTTTCCCTAGGCTGAAATAAATAGGTGTGAATTGGATTGATACTTAGTTTTGGCCAGAGACCAGTTTTAAATGAGAAAATGCACAATTTGCTTTTTGAAATGCTTTATTGGTGTCAGGGTCGGTGACAGTGCTGCGTATAGGCTGGAGAGTAGGTAACAAGTCCTGCTTCTGGCTGGTTTATTGATCGCTTCTACAGCGTGTAACAAGCAGGTTGGCTGTGCCTCAATCTCTTCTTTCAGAAGGCTGAACTAATGATTATTTCCTTGGTGTGTTCAGAGGCCCAGTTACTATTTGATATCTTCAGATGAAAGAGACAAAAGAAAAGCAATAAAGTTTTTGTTTCCTCTGTTTAAAATAAAAAATGTAATTCTGGGGGCTGCTAGAAATGAATTTATTTTGTGACCTCTAAATTTTTTGGGGGGTCTTCATAACTAATTCTTAAAGTACAATTTTCAGGCTTAACTTCAAGAATGCAGTGAAATCAATGGAACTGCAAGCACGAAGTCAGGAATGCTTCAAAGTGTTTGCAGTTCTCAATCCCTGATATTTAAAGGTGAAATGCTTTCTGTGTTTTGAGAGTTTTACAAAATCGAAGGTGTTCAAATGTAGCACCTCCTTAACATTTGTCTTGATTCCAACTTAATACAATAACACATCTGCATTAAATATCTTCCTTTTGTTTTAGATGTAAACATTGCCTGCCAGTAAAACTATTGATGTAACATTTTCAAAAGAGGAAGCCGTGCTTCTTATCATGTTGTATGTGACTTAAATGACTGTTTCATATTAAAACTAATCTTTCCTTATGTACTGCTTAAATATACCTGTTTGGGGAATATCAGTTCAGTACTTTTATACAATTTTGAATGTGTTCCACATTGGTGACATGTATTTTTGCAATAATTTTTTTTGTTTCAATTTTAAATTAGAGCATGTCTGAAGTAATACATGCATTAGTGCTGTGGTGTGTGGCAAAGTTAATGTATGTAATTCAAATTGGAAAAAAGTTTCCAGACTTTGTCCAACATTTACCCTGTGGCTGGGGATTAAATTACTATGTAATACAAATTATTTCATATCATGATGTGTTTTAAGCTACTCTGTGAAGTATGTGAAACATTATTGTTTATGGGTTGGTAGCTGGCCTGGTGTCTTGCATTGAATGAGGTATGATAGGTGGTAGCAACTTGTGATAATTAAAACTGACTACATTTCAGAACATAATTTCAGCATTCTGTACGTTATCATCCTGTTGCCATAACTGTTAGTATGA